TACTTAATTTTTTAAGTGGCAGGTTAACCATTAAACCCTTCGGTACCCCTTTCTTCACCCCCAAGTTCCACCAATACTGTAGGCTAGAAATCATCCTACCCTTTTCTGTTTTTATGTTAAGAGAGGTTTCTTTAATTATCAAGTCAGGTTTGTCATGGCTGCTACTTAAGCTCTCAGTTTTTTGTATCACCTGATTTTTTACAGCTTCTTCTGTTATTGAGAAGATGTTAGAGTCATGTTCAATCTGGGCATACCACTTTCTCACTGAGGCCCTCTGGGCCACCCCGTCAGGGTGGAGAGTCCCAGTAGTGGTTGTCTTAGTAATTTCAAAAGGGCCTTTTAATGCAATTGGTTGTTGTTGTGTAATTTTTTCTACTTCTATGAGAGCTGGATTAACTACCAACAGTCCCTTTTCCCAGGTAGTGTACCTCTTTTCAGCATCTTTATTTTTTATTACTTCTTTTTCATCTCCTCCCACAAGGATATCATCTATGGTTGTTTGGAGGAGAATTGCTGTAGGTTTCAGTGATTCTGGAAGACCACAAATTAAAGGGGTCATAATTTCAGCTTTCACAGGTAACAACATTGGTGATTCATAGCCAGCAATTAATTTTCTTTCATGAATCAGTTGCAAATAAGATGCTTTATAAATATTTTCTAAAATTTGGTCTGGAGAGCTGGTCAAAGCTACAGGATCTCCCCTTTCCAGGGGGTTAAGTCCCCCTGCCCAATATGCAGCTTGCTGGGTTAGGGACCATGGGTTGCGGTTATCTCCTGTTGTTAAGAAAACACCATGTCCCCAGTAACCACTTGCTTCTTGTTCAGATAATCGAATTTGATCTCCCCCTGTGAGAGACACTCGAAATACGTATTCTGTCTCTGACTCGTGAGGGAGATGCTCGTACTCCTTTTTTAACTTAGCCAATTCAGTAGCAGTGTACGGGATTTCTTTAGTGGTTACATGTGGATCAAGATCTTCATCATTGATATAGTTATATTCTGTTTTAATCAAAGGTCTCATTTGTGAGCAACAGTTTTCACCACAATTTTTTACCAAATGTAATTCTGCTTGAGAATATTTGTGATTTATCTGAGGAGTTTCTTTTTCCAGCGACTCCTTAAAGGAATCAGCACACTGTGAATTTTTGGCACACTCCTCACTCAGAGCAGTTCGTAACAAATTATTTTCATTTTGCAAACTTTCAACTAAATTTTGTAGGGATTCAATAATTGCATTTTCTTCCTGCCTTCGTCTCGTGCGAGCCTCTACAGCTGATGTAAGGCAAGCTCCCAATACAGAACAAATTATGGTTTTATTACGGCCAAATTTGAATTTTGCCTCATGTTGCAGGGAGCAAATTCTATCAGTTACATTTTCCAGGTTAAACCAATTATTTTGAGCCCATTCTTCCCCAGCTGGGGAGGGCTTAGCATTGTGTTTTGCTAACAAAGCAATGAATGCAGCTTTATCTTTTATACTAGAGTTTTCAGAGTGTTCACTCATGTTTGTGTGTGTGAAGGGTTCAGTACCACTACAGGGAGGTAAGACTTAAGTTACGCACAGACGCAGCCTTTGCCACGTCACCCTTCGCGTCCCTGTATGGATGAAGAGACAAAATCTGCTTGGGAGGCACCCCTTTATGTTAAAATTCAAGTTGTCTCTTTACTACACCAAGCAGTCAAAATTCATCAAAAACACATAACAGTACACAGAACCACTACAGGGAGGTAAAACTCACACTACATCAGACGCAGCCAACGCTGCGTTCCCCCCTGTCGTGGGTGGAGAGACCAAATCTGCTTGGGAGGCACCCCTTTATGTTAAAATTCAGACTCTCCGCTGCACCAAGCAGTCAAAATTCATCAAAAACACATAACAGTACACAAAACCACTCCAGGGAGGTAAAACTCAGTCACACTACATCAGACGCAGCCAACGCTGCGTTCCCCCCTGTCGTGGGTGGAGAGACCAAATCTGCTTGGGAGGCACACCTTTATGTTAAAATTCAGACTCACTCTCCGCTACACCAAGCAGTCAAAATTCATCAAAAACACATAACAGTACACAGAACCACTACAGGGAGGTAAAACTCAGTCACACTACATCAGACGCAGCCAACGCTGCGTTCCCCCCTGTCGTGGGTGGAGAGACCAAATCTGCTTGGGAGGCACACCTTTATGTTAAAATTCAGTCTCTCCGCTACACCAAGCAGTCAGCATATAAAAAACCAGTAAGTCCCACCTTTTGTACTCAAAGATCCCGTGTAAAATTCTGAAGACAGAGCCCTCAAATGAGTGTAGGGGTGCTTTTCACCTGGGCGTGTGCAGTTTGCGAGAAATTCGAGTCGCCTCCCTTGCTTTCTAGACACTGCTCACCAGCGTGGCAGGCTAGGTGCGGCTGAAGCGAAACGTCCTTCCCCTGATAC